TACGGTAAAGTATAGACACTCTATCCCTAGTTTAGATGATATGTTGGATGAATTGAGTGGATCTACTATTTTCACTAAAATAGATCTTAAGAGTGGATACCACCATATAAGGATGAAACTTGAAGATGAGTGGAAAATTGCCTTTAAAACCAAGTATGGATTGTATGAGTGGTTAGTTATGTCTTTTGGATTATCAAATGCCCCTAGCACCTTCATGAGATTTATAAATCATGTTTTACGACCTTTTCTAGGTAAATTTGTGGTAGTTTACTTTGATAACATCCTGATTTACAGCAAGTCTTTAGAGGATCACCTTCAACATATCCAATCTGTCCTTGACGTCCTTACAAAAGAACAGTTGTATGCGAACGCCAAGTGTACCTTCTGCAGTGAAAAATTAATTTTTTTAGGATTTGTAATTACTGCACACGACATTGAGATAGATGAAGATAAGGTGAAAGCAATCAGAGATTGGCCTACTCCGACTTCAGCCAACAAGGTAAGGACTTTTCATGGTTTAGTGAGCTTCTACCGCAGGTTTGTTAGGAATTTTAGTTCCATAGCAGCATTGAATGAACTGGTAAAGAAAAATGTAAAATTTGTATGGACTGAAGAACAAGAATAAGTTTTTACTTTATTGAAAGATAAATTATGTTTTGCACCTATTTTACCTTTACTTGACTTTAACAAAACTTTTGAACTTGAATGTGATGCTTCAGGTATTGATATAGGAGCAGTTCTGATGCAGGAAGGATGTCCCGTGACTTCTTTCAGTGAGAAACTTAGTGGCGCACCGTTGAACTACTCAACCTACGAAAAGAAGTTGTATGCTTTGGTGAGAGCATTAGAGGTATAGCAGCATTATTTATTACCAAAGGAGTTCGTGATCTACACAGATCATGAATCCCTACAACATCTGAAAGGTCAAGGTAAACTCAACCGTCATCACGGTAAGTAGGTCAAGTTTAGAGAATCTTTTCCCTCTGTAATCAAGTATAAACAAGGTAAGGATAATAATGTTGTTGATGTATTATCTCGCAGGTATGCCTTAATTTCTACACTTATCTCTAATTTGTTAGGATTTGAACATATTAAGGAGATATATGCTAATAATGATAATGATCTTTTCATTGTTTATCATGCATGTGAGCATTCTGCATTTTAGAAATTTTATAGACATAATGATTTCCTCCTTAGAGATGGTAAGTTATGCATACCCAACTGTTCAATTAGAAAATTACTAGTGCGTGAGGCTCACAGTGGAGGATTGATGAGGCACTTTAGGGTAACTAAAACTCTAGATATATTAAATGAGCATTTTTATTGACCTAACATGAGGAAAGATATTGAGCGCATTTGTAGTAAGTGCATTGCATGTAAGCAGATCAAATCTAACATTCTACCTCATGGATTATACACTACTTTACCTGTGCCTACAGTACCTTGGATAGATATATCTATAAATTTTGTATTAGGATTGCCTAAGACCAGGAGAGGTAATGATAGTATATCTGTCGTCGTTGATAGATTAAGTAAGATGGCACACTTCATTGCATGCCATAAGACTAATGATGTGACAAAGATCGCAAATTTATTTTTCAAGGATGTTGTGAGGCTTCATGGCATTCTTAAAAAAATTGAGTGATAGGAATGCGAAATTCCTTAGTCACTTTTGAAGAGTTCTGTAAAGTAAATTAAGTTGTTATTCTCTATTGCATGTCACCCCCATATTGATTGTCAGACTGAGGTCGTAAACAGAACCTTATGATCCTTGTTGAAAGCTATAGTTGGCCGAAACTTGAAAACATGGGAGGATTATTTGCCTATAGTAGAATTTGCATATATAGGAGCATCATACATCTACAGGGTTTTCACCTTTTGAGATGTTTATGATTTTAATCCTTTAATTCTGTTGGACCTCACGCCTTTACCTTTGCAAGAAATTCAAGATACCGATGGTGGGAGCAGAGCTTGTTAAAGCCATACATGAAAAGGTAAGGCAGCATATCCAAAAGAAGAATGAATTCTATGCACGACACGCCAATAAATGAAGGAAGCGAGCAGTGTTCCAACCCGGCGATTGGCTATGGGTTCATATGCGAAAAGAAAGATTTCCCAATCAGCGAAAATTTAAATTAGACCCCCGAAGAGACGGACCTTTTCAAGTTCTAGAGTGTATCAATGACAATGCCTACAAAATTGATCTCCCAAGCGAGTACGGTGTGTCTACTAGCTTTAATGTTTCTAATACTTCCTTTTTTGATGCAGGATTAGATTCGAGGACGAATCTTTTTGAAAAGGGCGGGGATGATGTGAGCATGGACATGGGTCAAGTTGGTGGAGAGGATATTTCAATGCCAAGTAGACAAGTGGACCCATTACAAAGGAGAGAGCTCAAAAATTACAACAAGTCTTCCAGCTTTTTATTTAAGCGTGGATCAATGAGGAATATGGGATTGGACCCATTAAAAAAATCCTAGAAAAGATGACAACATGGCCATTAACCCAAGGGTGTAATAGTAATATTCACCCCAAGTACAAGAGGGAAATAAATAAAAAAAAGAAAAAATTAAGTAAGATACGAAAAGGAAAAATTCCCATGAAATTTTATTTCCTTATCATATGGGAAATCTTCACAATTAAAGATTAGCCAAGAGGGGAAATTACTTCTAAATTGTAAACTATCTTGAGAAAGAGAAAACCTTTTTAAATGCTAAATCTCACAGAAAAAGAAAATACTTGAAAAAGAGGAAAATATTTTGGCAAAATCTCTTCCCCTAAATCAGTCACAATTAATTAAGATATTCCCTATTTAAAAAATTTTCCTTGTAGAGAAATTATATCTATACTATTTTAGTTGTAATTTTCTTAATTCTTACTAGTTTTCCATTTTATTCTATATTTAATTTCCTATGTAATTTCTACCATTAATTAGGAGATTATTTTTTCCTTATTATTTGCATGGCTTATAGTATAAATAAGCATTCGATTTAGAGTTGTAGTTCAATTAGGAATACTTATCTTATTAATAGAATTCAGATATTCTTGTTTGAAGCTTTTAAGCTTTCAAGAGTGAATGGGTTTTCAATTGACTTGTTGTGTTAGGAATTGAGATCACTTATCGAGGTAAATCTCGTGGCGTCTTTTCAATTTTACTTCTTTATTTTTTTTCCCATTTACCTTGGTTTTCACTCCCCTGTTGAGTGGGGGTGGAGTAGGGAGGGTTTGCTTAAGGTTTTGAGTTTCTGATTGCTGATGCATATGCAGGGTTTTGGATTCCATTGTTGATCCCGGATTCCGCATCATTTACACAACAAGCCCTCTTTTCCTTCCGCCACCAGCTCGTCCACCACTTCATTTGCTGTCAACAAAGGATCCAGTCTTTCTGCTTCCAAATGAAAAGAGTCTAGCGGCACTTTTTCCTCCTCTCTGTTTGCTGGTCCGGAAGAAATGTTCACAGTTATTCCTCCCAGGGAAGAGGATCACTGGACCCATCAAACACTGGAAAATTCAATTTCATAAATCTGGGCAGACAGGGCCAATCAACAGCCAGCTGGTGTACAACCACTGGGTAGCCAGCCACTCAGTGTGCGCAGGGTTGCCAAACCAAAACTGCAGGTTGTGCCCAAAGGGGTCTGCACATTGGCAGTTCTATTTCTGCATTTCTGGGTGCATGCAGGGGTGTCTGCACACCCACAAATTCCTCCTTTGTGTGGCCTTGTTCTTCTGTCGCACCCAGACACCCAGACGCTGGTGATGCTCTGCCTTGCTACTCCCTTCTCCAGCTTCCTTCTGAACAATCCTGACCGATAGTTCCTCCAACCGGCCAACCAAAAATTTAAACTTCAACATCTCTTGCTCCGTATTCTCTTGATAAGTTTGCAAGAATTTTTCGGATATAAATTGTTGATCATCCATAATGATTAGCTCCATTACCAATTTGTTACTACTCTTACTGGTGGATAGTGTTATGAGATGATTAACAACAAAATCAGTAGGTAGGACTGTATTTTCCTTTTGATTTTCTGCCTTTCTCTATCTTTAGAAATTCCAAAAAAATAATAATAATAATTAGAGCTCCTTGGGTGGAGATCCCTACGATCACTAGAGTAGAAACATACTCTTTACTAACATTAAAATTCTAGAACATGAACTGTTTTCATCCCACAATAGAGGATATATACAAAGAGGAGCAGTAAACCCTGGAATTAAAATTTCCAGAATTGACTAAACTGCTCAGCATACTCTCCATTTTTTTTTTAAGTAGAAAGAGGAGCAGTCAATGCTCAACATACTGCTAAACATACTCTCCATTAACAATAAATTTCCAGACATAAACTCTCTTCATTCCCACAGCAGAGGATATATACAAAGAGAAGCAGTTAATTACAGAATTAAAATTTCCAGAATTGCCTAAACTGGCCTTGTCTTATAATAGACTTATTTCTTACCCTAATACACACTTAACACTCACTTTAACACACTTATATAGTAAGTACACAACAAACATCATCATTAACACACATATATATTTACACAGGATTATTGATTTTATTTCTCCTTTGGTAAACCTGCGGATAAGGAACTGTTTTGTTTCTAACAAGATACAAATACACAGAAATAAAATTAGTTCAACTATAACACAAGACACTCAAAGAAGCACATTCTCTATGCTGCAAACAAGGATCTAACAGGAACATTTAGATATTTATAACACACCACATATCAGTGATTCCATCATAGCTCATGATTACAAAAGCTTGATTCTCAGTTCTATTTTCCAAAACCATTCTAAATTTCCTTACTAACAAATAAAAAATATCATCAGCAGCAGCACAAAGAAAAATAAATCATCAAGGAAAGGCCAAAGAAAAAAAAACTTTAGCAAAAAATGCCACCAGAACTTCACATACAATTAAAGATTACAATAAGCAGTTGACTTTGTGATGCTGAAATTAAAATGTCTTAGATACATAATACTTGGGGGCAAAGAATCTTACGCCATGCTGTCGAGTTCCTGCATTGATGCGTTGGATCCAGAGGGAGCGCATATCACGCTTCTTGTTGCGCCGATCTCTATACGAATACTGCAATGCCTTCTCCACCCTCTCCCTTGCTATTCTTATGCAGTTCTTTGCCCTTCCCCTGAACCCTTTTGCCAGCTTCAGTACTTCCTTCTTGTTCATTTTCTTCCTATTTCAGTATCCAATTCTCTTTTCCTGAAGTAGGTAATTCTCTTCTCAAAATAGTTGCAGTAACCATACTTTTCAATTCCATTGCATATAATTTATGATACAAAAGAATTGCATAGAAATGACATGGAAATGAATTACAAAGCAAAGTCTCCACTGACCCTCAATAAAGGCACCTTCAGAATGTCAAATATAAATATACACAGAGATTTGAGTAAGAAAAAACTATTACAAGTTAGAAGGTGTTAGGCACCCAACCCCCACATTCAAATTAAAATGAAATGAGTTTATCAACCAATTGTTAGTGGGTGTATGTGCCATCACTACCAAAATTATGAAAATGACATTAGTAGCCTTATTACAACCTACTTGAAACAAACCTAGAACAAAATATGAATTACAGAGAACTCATGGGGAGGGGATTAAAATAAAAAGAAAAAAATTAAGGGAAGTTTTTCCAATTCAAAAAAAGCATCTTGTTTTCACACTGCCAGCTCCATAGAGACTCATGAAAAGTTTTGAGAGAAACGACAAAGTTGAATAGAACGTAAAGGGAGCACTAGGTAATAAAAAATAAGGTAATGAAAAAATAAACAAAAGGATCATCGTCAAGTTTACACAAAGCACTAAGTATTACCAAAAAAGTAGATGATGTTGAAACCATGCCTAAGAAAAAGGTAACACCTAAAACTGAATATTCATGAAAAAGGATGCAGAAGCAGGAAATAGGTTTAAGCATTCACAGATAAACAAAAATGCATTCATCACACTAATCAAATACGCAAGGTATTTTCATTGAATAGAAAATATATAATGATATGTTAAATATCAATAGATTCTCTGCAAAAGGTATAAGTAACAACAATGAAATAGACCATTTTAAACCAACCACAACCAGAACAAGGGAAAAGGAAAGAGAACAATAGAATGAAAGAGACATAAAGAAGAATAGATAAAAGCGATATATGCATGTTATGGCACAGAAAAATATATGATATATAAATAACAACAAAGATAAGAAACATTAGATGAAAGAAATACATGGGAGATAGAAACCCACCCACACTAATCCATACATGGAAACAAAACGAATAAATGAATCAAAAAATACTCGAAAGAGGAAAATGGGCACACCGGAAAAACCAAATTAAAAAGATGAAATCAAGAAACAATACGCAAAAGATGCACCAAACAAAGAAGACTCGAAGATGGTTGCAAATCGTTGTACAACAGCTGATACTGACAAATCAGTTGGTTTCTAAGATCAGTAAATAATAACTATATGAACATAGTGTAATCTCAAATATAATACATGACAATCAGAAATACGTTCTCAGATCGCAAGATCAAACCAAAAACAAAAATGTAAAGAAAACCAAACAGGGAAACCAAAAGTGAAAATATTTCAGTTGTTGACATCCTTTTTCCTAAAACCTTAGAGCAGACAAATAAATATCAAAGAAAAGAAATAGTAAAAAATGTATATTCGAACATAAATACATACTTGAAGCTCTGTTAGGAACAATTGATACACAAAAGCACAAGGGTAATAAGAAAATACTTTTAAAAAATCGAAGTCGAAAAGACGACAAATGCAATAGCGGAAATAGATTCATAATGTAGTATGGGAGAAAAAGCAAGGTTAAAGACTATACCTAGGGCACCAAATGACGGCCAGTGTCCAGAAGTCCGCACGTGTGGGAGCAGTAGAGAGATGAGGCGTTGTAATGATGGAAGAAGACGGCTATTTAAAGAAGGAGAGGAGAAGTGGCACAGGCGATGCTTGCTGGTTGAAGATGTCTCAGGTAAATGGAAAGCAGCAGAGGAGCTTGCCCCGAGGAAGAAGAGGAATTGTGGAGGCTTACGGCTTTGTGGGGTTTTAGTTCGCTACGGCTTAGGAGAAAAAATGAAAAAATAAAATATATTGTTCTTAGTGCTTTTTTATTTTTCAAAAATTAATTTTGATCAAAGGAAAAAAAGAATTTTTAACTAAAACAGAAGTCCAATTCAATTTTTAAAATATTAAAGTTAAAGATAAATTTAACACATGAGCATAAGCATATTTAGATAAAAACTTTAACAACAATATTTATTAATTTATATTTTACTAATTTATCAATTTAATATTTATATAAAAAGACAAAATAATAATTTTCTATTTTATTGTAACACCCGGTCTCAAAATTTACGTTTGAGATAATTAAATCATAATAATTTTTATTAAATTTTTTGAAGAAAATTATATTTTTGATGTATTTGAGCATATTTTCAAAAATTAGGGTCAAAGTATAAATAAAATATGATCTATTTGAAAAAAAATCTGAAAAATTGGGTAAAAGTAAAAATAATAAAAATTTGGCCACGTAGACCGCCACGTCAGCAATGCGCCTGGTCCTCGTGCGCCACGTGCAGACACGTGAACGCGCGTCAATGCAGGAAGCCACGTGGGTGATCCGCGTGCCAATAAATCCAACAGCCCAGATTTCCACCCACGCACACGGACTACCCAGATCTGTTCTCTTTTTAAGCGTAATCAAACAATCAGATTTAATCCGATCGTGCAGTTAAGATTTATTTTTCAAATAAGAGCGATCCAACGAATGGGAAAGGGTTACGTGTCCCTACAAGGACGACCTAGATCGACACAGGGAGGGGGGGTATTTAAGGATCACATTCCATTAACCCTAGTCGCACATGTCCTCGCCAAATAAGAAGAAGAAGGGCGGCCGGAAAGAAAACTGACCATCGTCGCCGCCTCACCAAAGCCACCACCGATATCAGATAGGCAATTTTTCCCCCTCTTTCATTTGAAATTTGATTTCAAATCTCTCCACACACATATCGGAGCCAAAAAGCTAAAAGGGAAGCTAGAAACTAAGAGCAGAGCTCGGTCGAGCTGCCGCAGCCGCAACCCAAAACCTGCTCTGGTGAGCCATTTCCCATTTTCTGCTCCCTTTGATTTTTCGACCGTTGTGTCCCTAATCTTTTTCTAGTGCAAGTCAACCAAAAAGAATCCCCAGCCATAAGAGATGAACGGCGGAGCCGCCGCACCAGAAAACTCCTTTGCCGATAATGTTTTGATTGTTTTTCCTTTTTTGGCTGATTGAGGCTGCCTAACCTCGTTTCTTTGCAGGTTTCGTACAAAATTGGTCAAAACCAGCCAAGCCGAGAGGAGACACCGTCGTGGGCGATGGACTCGGCGCCAGAGCATGCTGCCATACCGGAACCCTAAATCGACCAAAAAAAATTAAAATGCTTATTTTTACTTTTTTGAGGTATTTTAGAATACATGACGCGTGTTTTTTATTTTTGCAGAAAAAAATCCAAGAGACTCGAGAATCGCCAGGAATCGTAATGAAAAAGATGATATTTCGAACACCGATCTGGTGTAAGAATCTCTCACCCTTTTTTCCAATTACGGTAAATTAAAATTTAATGATAAATAACTTTGTATTTGTGAATATTAGAAATCTCTAATTAATTGAATACATGTCACCAATGGAGCCGGTAACTAGTTAGTGTATAATTGTCCTATCTGTGTTGCATATTTATTACTATACTGCCTAAACCATTTATTGTTGCATCGTGTGCTTTAATATATTGATTTTAATTGCTCTCTTGTTTATTGACTGTTTGACTTTTATTCTCATATGTTGACTGATTTGAAATAAATGTACTGATAACGTTTTCTCAATTGTTAAAGTATAAATTGAATTATCCATTTAAATGTCGTTCTATTGATCTGTAAATCTGAAATGGTTATGTGAATTGGTGGTTAGTTGATGACGTGAATAATTATATAAAAGACTAATCGGATATCATGAAAAAAAAAATATGTATAGACCTGGTACATAGGACAATCCTACTATGGACATACTCTCAGTCGAAAGAAGTTGAGAAGTCTTATACTGAAAGAAGTTAAGAAGTATTGTTCACCCTCATACCGGATGGAGTATTGAAGCGGTGATATGTTTGGTGCCAATTATCGGATGGGGTATGGGGACGATTAGTTAACTAATAAATTAGATATTGGGTCCACGTGTAGGGGAATCTTTATGGACTCGTAGAGGTACCGCTAAATAAGTAAAAATGTAACGTTTGCTATTATTATTCCTTTAAATGTGTAATAAATTTTTATCTTGATTATTGTCTTCACAAATCGTATTTAAAAACCTAAAATGTGAGTATAAAACCAACGTTTTTGAAATTAAATGAATTTACTTAAAAAGAAAAATAGTTTCATTGATTATTTTTCTATTTTTACCAACATTTGTTTCTCCGTATCGCCGTTAAGTGTTGACATTCTTACTGAACTAGTGTACCTTATCTCATTTATCACACTATTTCATATCAGGAAAACCAGGATCTGGATCCTGAACAGTAAAAAAATTAACTTTTGGAGGTTGCCTCCCGTGTCACATCAGAGCTGTCCAACGGAGGTTGACCTTATAGGATTTTAATTTTATTTATATTTCTACTATTTTAATTTCCTTAAAGATACATTCTCATATCTTTATTGAGCATTATAATTTAATGTGCAAGTAATCTAAACTCTAAACTCTCAATTGTTTATGCTATTATTTTATAATTTAATATTTTTTTTTATTAAGTATTGCGCTTTTACATTTTTTATAAAGTGTGTAAATCATTTTTATCTTAAATTTAAATAAAAATGATAATAAATTAAAAATGGGATTTATATTAAACAAATAAATGAAATAACAAATTTAGAATAAATATTTTAAATTACTTACACTTTTTTAAATAATTTATTATTAACTTTTATTTTTACACATTTTCACTATTTCAAAAATTATAATTAATTTTATAAATAATTAATTGAAAGTAATATGTTATGTGAAAACCCACTCTTTACATTAAATTTTTAAAAAACTATATCATAAATTTGAAATCTCGGCGGCTGAGACACAAAAGGATGCGAGTAATGTAAGATTGTGTAGGTTGTAATATAATAATTATTAGATGGTAGTAAAATAAAGTTGTAATTAAATTACTTGTTTGATTCATAACGAGAAATTGCTTATCAAAATCTAATTGATTTGTGTGGTTTGTTTGCGAATATAGTTGGAGTATATCTATAACTAAACTCAGAGAATTATAATTTTTTTTTTTAAAAAAAATATTAAAATTGATTGAAAGTGTATTTTAATAGATTTTGATAATTAATATAACTGAAATCATACAATTACATAACAGTTACTTATTTCTTCATGCATCCATCATATAACCTGTTAATTGCAGGTTGTAGAAGATTTGTGGACGACAACCGGCGTACGTGCTCATATCCAGTTAGGTGTCAACCATATTGGGTGGTTGGTCAGGTTAAGTTATGACATTTGGATTGGATTTTTCTACACCATCGGACGATGCCTTAACTAGGTTAGAAGAGGGTTTTCTTTTCCAAATTTTAAAATGTTGCTTTTAGTATATCTAGAAATGCTTTGATTATTCCAAAAATATGCAACTCAATGCATTTTTCTATAAATAAATATGCATTAAAAATAGTAAGTTTGTAGTTTGTGTTGCAAGCCATAGTAGTGCAGGAGCTGAGTCAAAAGAGGAAATCAATTTGAGTAGGTCCTTTCCTGTATCGATAGCTGCCTACATAAGATAGCAATTCTGGGCATACCTACAGCAATTTCACATGCTATAACAACAACTCCACATGTCCTCCTCTTACCAACCATTACATGTTTATCATCTTAAATAATTGCCAATTATAACTACAGTAGGAAACCTCCACTTTTTTTTATCTATCCTCTCCAAATGCCAATTATAGTCTTCTTTCTTCTTCTTCTTCTGTTAAATACAGACAAATGGAAGTTCCCCTGAATGTTTATGCAGGATGAGAGCTTGGCTGAAGCAGAAGAGTGAAAGAAAACTATTTCACCAATCAAATTCTGCACTTTAAATGTTAATAGATAGAATTGGGTCTAATAGTATTGAAGAGAAAAGTAAACAGTGGATTCATTCATGTATCAATGATCAACAATTTATTGAATTAGGCATAAGTTACCAATACCTTTTGACAGACATAAAATTCATAGCTTCCAATCCTACTAAGCAACCAAAACAAGATTTGTCTTCTCTACAGCAAATATTTTCAGGGCAATTAGACTACTAACGTTTCCTTGTACAGCAAACTAAAAACCTTTATCAACAACAAATTAAGATAGACCAGAAAACAAAAAAAAAACAAAAAAAAAAAAAAAGGAAAACCAATAATCAGTAAACACAAACTATACTTAGCATACAGAATGAATAATCTTCCATTGGCTATGGTCTTGCAAAAACACCCCAAATCTTGCTCCGGCTGAGGATTTCTAACAACTTCTTAGAGCCCTCAACATCCATCTCAACAAGCTTTTGTAGATGCAAGCAAGCACCAGCAGCAACCATTTGCTTCCTGCACTTGTTTGAATTGGCAATAGCAGCCAAAATTGAAACAGAGTATTTCTTCTCCAAATTCTGTATCTGAGGATCCAAAAGCTGGACTGTGCTCACTATTGCTCTCTCGTCTTTTCTGAAAATCTTCCTATTACATGTACACAACATGAGCACTGACAAGGCCTTTGCGGCGGCTTCTTTCTCTTCAACAGCCTTGCCATCCAACATTTTGATCAATGGACTGATGCATCCAACTTCACCCATTTCCTTCCTTGTCTTTGAGCAGAATCCCAGCTCATAAACAGCTCGAGCAGCAGCGATTCTCACACCCAAAACCCCGCAACTGCATGCTGTCAAAACCCGATTGACAAACCCATCAGATACCAGAACCTCGGCAATGGGCGGGCATGAAGCCAAATGCATCAGCAACTCAACAGCCACCTCCAGGCTCCTTCCACTTGGAGCAGAATCCCAGAAATTCTTCAAGCACTCGATGCCTCCCTCCTTAACAACCAACAGCTTCAAATTCTCATCGCCAGATACCAGATTACACAAACACCCAATAGAGTTTTCTTGCGCCAAGGCAGTACCAGAGGAGGCCAGCCCAATTAACACGGAAACCGCGTTCTCCTCTACGAAATTCTCTCTGATTTCTTGAAATGCAGCGAGATTCCTCAAAACCCCAGCTGCAAAGGCCTGCGAACCAGGAGTTCCAGCTTGACAAATCTCCAATAGAGATGAAATTCCACCTCTACACCCAATAGCCCTGGCGTTCTCTTTCGAAAAGCTCAATGCTTGAAGAGCAATACAAGCTTTTTCTTTTGCAAACCCACTTCCCGATTCGAGAACTCGAAGCAAGTGATTTAATAGAAACAATCCCTCCGCGGTCAAAAGGTGCTTGCTACTATCCACCATAGAAACCCTAGCAATCGCAGCAACGGTCTTTTCTTTCATTTCCAAGTAGCTCGAATCCAGTAAACGAACGAGAACAGGCACCACTCCCTGAGCCACCGCTATCATCACGTTCTTGTCATCCTCTTGCAGTAAACTCAGCAAGGAGTCCATTGCTGCGGTCTTGGACTCGGAGCTCCCAATCTGCAGCCGGGTTATCAAGTTCCTCGACTCCACCCGCACAGCCTCCTTTTTCGAGGAAGAAACGGAGACACAACCGTCTTGTAGAACCCCACTCCTTATCAAAATCTCGCTATCCTTGACATGTCGATCCAGCTTGGCCAGAATCGAGTCGATATCGCTCTGGGTCTTGAGCTTACCCTCGGTCAAATCGGGACCTTGACATTTGGCGGCCACAGAAACGGCATGGTGGAGGGTGTCGGAGATTGAATGAAGAAGGTCGAGAGCGAGAGGGTTAGAAGTGTGAGTTGGGAAATCAGCAAAATCGGCGAGGTGAGTTTGGAGATCGAGTAGCTTTGCCTTGATTAAAGACCATTTACCCTTGAAGCTGTGAATGTGAAGGATTTGGTCAGAGAGGGAAAAAATGAGAGCTTTGGGGTCGTTTTCTGGCACATTCATGGCCGTTTTACGGTAGTTCCTTCAGCTTCGGGTTAAGAGAAGAAAAGTTTGTGGGCTGTGAAGAGCCAAAAAAGTGAAGGACAGAGGCTCGGGTTTTAGGGTATATAGATAAACAACTCTATGAAAATGGCGATACGAATCTGACGAGAAAGATGTGTTGGGAAACGACGAAGCAGAAATGTACTGCGCGAAGAAAGGCCCAGAGAAGAGAGAGAGACAGTCTGTCGATACCCAAACGCAGCTCAAGAGCGTGAGTTCACGTACTTACAGTTTCGGTCGAAAATGGTTTGCCGCCACTGAATATGTTGATAAACATTATTTGGCTGGTTTCCAAATCCACTAATTTTGGGATTAATTCTCTAATTATGTGTTTAAATGTTTTTCCATAATAATATCACGAACCAATTTTATATAAATCTTCAAAATAAATAAATAAATAAAAATATATAAGGGTACCTTTCTATTTCCAATTTAATTCCATAATAATAATGAATATCATATTGCAATAAAAAAAATTAAACAGTTGAAATTTCAATATATATATGTATGTATGTATGTATGTATATATATATATATATTTGGTCGGGCACGAATGTTTTAAAAACTAATATTTATAATATAAAATTGTAATATAGTTTTCAACTATTAATTATTGTATATGGTCATTAATGAAATATATATAATGGAGAGAAATAAAATTGAATAGGGGTTTAAAGAAATTATTCTCTTATATATGGGTGTTGGCAAAAATCACTTAATAAGTAATGTTAATTTCAAAAATTCTATCATTTAATACAGGCTTAATGTCATTTCCAGTATTTTTTTTTTTTTGTTTATAGTTTATTTGGTTTTTATAATATATAAATAAATACATGCGCAAAATTTCAATTGGATAGGAAGACAGAAGGAAGGCTAGTCAGTCAGTTAAAGATAATCAATCAGACGACGGAGAAGAGAGGTGGGGCCCAGCCTTTCCAATTATATGATGATGCTCCTTTTTTGGATCCTTTGATTCACACAACTTTCCAATCTGAACCTCATTTTCTTTCTTTACATTTTTTCTTATTTGGAATATAATGTAACATATATTTCTTATTTATGAAGTAAAAAATATATAATTTATTAATCTTTATTTTTATTAAAGTCTCTTTATCCAAATAAATAATTATGATATTATTTTTACTATTTTAAATTATTGATTAATTATATCAAATGGTTTGGTTTGAAGAAGATACATGCATAATAATTAAAAACGATAATAATTTTGATATTTTATAAAATGATTAATTTTTTGTTGGTTATATTTTTAAAATTTTTATGAAATCTTGTATTAAGTGATTTACAAGAATCACATAAATATCTCTCTCTCTCTCTCAAAAAAAAAAAAAAGAAAAAAATGTCTTGTTTGAAAAAGGAGCACATAATTTCTACTAATTTTTTATTTTTAATTTCTACTTTAACCTAAACACGACATATGCATATATATATTCTAAACAAAAAATTTCATTAGTTATTAACCTGTTCCCTCTTAACCCAATCAATGAAATATAATCTCTGAATATATACATTCTAAACAAAAAATTTCTATTTTCTACACACTAAATTTTCCTTTAATTGCTACTCTACGTACTCTTATATATATATATACATATATATTTATATTTATATGTACGAATACCAATGAGTAGAGATTGTTATAAGGCCCGGTTCAAAGCTGATGGATCAACAAGCAGCAAACCTGAAACCACGGATAAAGGCGGACTAATTATTTTAATTAAAATATCAAATACCAAATAATAAATATATATAATTAAATTTCTACCACGTTAGATAATTTAATTTCTTATATTTATAATAAATAATAATATATTATTTTTTATGAACAAAAATTAATTAGATAAAGTAAAAATATACATATATATATAGTGAAAATGCAAAAGAATTATCATACTTTAATTATTTTTGTGGAATGTGCGCCAAGATAAGTGATGTGTTGAGAAAAAGTCGGATGAATATAGAATTTGTAATCTACTAAAAGTCAACTACATAGTAATTGTATTAAATTGACAAATTAGTTTTTTCTATATTCAAAATTTTTTTAATTCATATATATTATCATATTATCTAACTACTAATTATATAATCACACAAATTATATTAAATTAAATAAAATTAAAAACTTTTTTTTTTTAGAAAAAAAGAGAGAGAGAGATAATTAAAATCCTAGTTGTTGAGAGTAAATTTTGCTTGGACTGGTTATATGATGAAACTGGCATTCCCTTTTAGCTATTAGACTTAAAAGTTAGAATCTTAATGACAATGATACTGTGAGAAGAATCCAATCCAAACGCAAGTGATGGTGTTACAGCTTTTTAAGTGAAGAAGCTTGGAATATATATATATTTTTTTATCTTTGAAAAGTCAAACAAACTCATTTGACTTTATTTTGCTTTTGGAGTTTGCATTGGTGGATTTTAGCCCAAGGAATAATGAGCTCATAAAACTAACTTCAAAAAGTGATGTCAAGATGTGACTCAACTTGTCTCCTTAATGTTTCTAAGGTTTTGTTTGATAGAGAGTAGGGTTGATGGGTGTTGTGTCGTTTCAATCCTTTTTAATTCGTAATGGAATTTATGGATAATTAAGAATATTTTAAATGGAGTTGATGAGATGAAGAAGAGTTGTCAACCTTTGAAAATGAACTTATTCAATGCAATTTGGCTAACCAACCAATGTGAAAATATTCTTTGACATGAATTACAAATGGGTCATTTCAATTTTATTATTCTTTTTAATTCTACTACTTGTTATCCATCTTTGCATATAAATGCTATTAATAGAATATATTCTATAACTGAGTTTTGATTTTCGATATTTTCGTTTTATTATTTTTAATAATTAAGTACGAGACTATAAATACAGAGTCGATATACATACAGAGTTGACAAACACAAATTAGAGAAATCAGAAAAAGAAAATGATCTTGTATGAAGATAAAGAGTCATTGTTTGGTAGCCAAGGATGACTTGCCTAAATTCATTTTAGGGTTTTTATATATATATATATATTAATATTTGAAACCCTCAAAATGGAAGATGGGCAGTCTCCTTTGGCTATCCTAACTGCCTCTAATCTTTCATACTAGACTCTTTTTTCTTTAATTCATATTTCCAAACTCCACTCCCATTTTAATTTCTCCTCATCTTTCCTTGAATTCTAAAATTATTAGTAATTATTACCATTATAGCAAATATATAAAAATAATGACCTATTATTATTTCCATAAAAGAAAAAAAAATCTTCTTCAAACATTCAAACTAGAGTCGATATGAAGGTACATTAAACTCTCTCCATATATTAATCTTAATTTTATTTTATGTACCTGCATTTTAATCTATTTTATAGTTTATATTGGATGATTAAATCAATGTTTTATTCATTTAATTTATAAAAATGTATGCACAAATATTTTGAAGTAAGGATTTATCTATTATAATTTTTACTATATCACTCTACTCTAGTCTTGTTGGCTTTAAGTTTTATTTACTATATTTTAAAGTTTAAAGTTTCAAATTTATTTAATTTTTAAGTGTTGGTTATTTAACATATATAAATGTTAGTTATAATTTATATATATAATTAGATAAACTTTAATTCGAAAACCATAAATTTTGAAATTAATTTTTAATTATAATATTATTGTTTACTAAGATTTTTATTATATTTGAATGATCTATTTTTTTTCTTTGATACAATTAGAATTTAAATAATACTCAACGTTAAAAATGGTACATTTGATTTTAGTTTATAATTAAATCAGTAAACATTGATGAGACTAAATCCAGAATTATTTTCTTTTTTGCACCATATTTTATTCATGGTGTGGATGTATCTGTGTATGCACAAATATTAAGAATATATTTGATATGAAAATTATTATTTTTGTGAAATTTATTTGGAAGTATTTATTGAATTATAAAAATAAAAACATATTTCAAATGAATTTTAAGTAAAACTAAGTTTTCATATTTTAATAATTAATTAAGTATATATCTTCAAATAAAATTTTAAAAACAAATTTATTTGCTCTAATATATCCTAAATACAATACATAAATTGATTGGTAAAATATTTTTACACAAATGCCAAACCAAGAGAGCGAAGAAATCAGGAACTTTGACAGGTCATTTAGATATTCTAACCACGCAAACGGCGCCGTTTGGACAACTGAAAGCATATTACCACGTCATACATGAGAAAGCGTGGAAGAATTTTATTGGACAACTCCTACTTGAATGACTCGTCACTGAAGCTGACGTGTCAGTGTTAATTCTAATTTTGAAACCATGTTCATATTCACAAACCTCCAGCGAGCTACCAATTCTATCGACTGCAAAGTATTTCTCGAAGTCCGTTCAGAAAATCAGAAACCAAATGGCACAATCACCTTCGGCCATTATTCTTGTTATCGGAGCTCTCCTTCTCTTTGCTTCTTCAATATGCGCAGATGGAGAATCTCCATTTCTTGTTGCACACAAGAAGGCAACTCTCAAGAGGCGAGGTCCTGACACAGAGCGAGTCTCCGTCTCCATCGACATATACAACCGTGGATCCATGTACGCATTACCTCCTCTTCACCTTTTATTACTTGATCTATCTTTTCTTGTATCTTATTACACGTCTTTTTATCTCTTTTTCTTAGTCTCCGATGTAACTGTTTATACTCAATTTAAATGGTTGATTTTTGAAAATGATGAGATTTTTGCTAAGAACTAAATTTTAGGATTGATGATGTATTTTTTATTTTTCAATCTTCAGTAGTATTTGTGTAATTTACAGTGATAATTTTGTAGTTCTGAATTAACATATTGTTACTTAAATTCAATTCCGTGAAGTGCTAAAATGTCAAAATTATAATGGAAGATATAGGATTCTTCGTTCATTTTTGAGTAGAAATCTGTTTGGTGGGGTTAGTTATGTATCAAATTTTGAATTGTCTAGTTACCGGTAACTATTTATTCTCTATGGTGAATTTTGGTAAGCTTACAAAATCCCCATTTGTGTTAAAATATGTTTTATATATGAGTTGGCATTGGCATCTTCTAAGTACCTGTAAGTAATAAATACATATTATACTTTTTATTTTTTAAGGAAGAAGCATGGTTGATCAGATCGTGTCGTCTTCAATAGTGTTAGTAACGTTCCAGTTTGTAGCACAACTGAGCTGATTTGGAACTCTGCTCTGATAGACTTCATCTCGGTTCGATGAACTTCGAATTGCATGAGCTGAAACTGGCTTGAAATCTTATTAACTGCTCCTCTGAATATTTAAAAATAAATGTATGATATAAGCATGTGTATAAAAAATATGTTATTACTATACGTTAGTAGTTTAATTTTTTGTGATGTAAATAAATATAGTGGACTTTGGTATCATTTTCAATTTTGACCCTATACTAACTAAAAATTGAGGTCCAACATGTTTTAAAGGTAAATTTTTCTTGAGTGTTCTTCATGCTGTGTCAAATAAAATTTGAGTTTTATTTCATAAAAAAAAAAAAGAAAAAATTGGAGTTGTCTAATGTGTAGTTCGAGGTCATGTTTGAATTTGAGTCTAGTACTAATCAAAACTGAGTTTGTTCATAATTGAGTTCAAACATATTTTCAATCTAGCTCTAACTGGGTGCTACTTGATCCTTCTTGAGCTCGAGTCAAGCTGAGGCCCTACTGTTGTTTGCTCGAGCTAAACAAAAAGCAGGATAATTTTGAGCTAAATTTTGTTGGATTGAGCCGAACTTAAACATCTAAATATTTGGATCACTCCAGTTGTTTCCATCCTAGTTATCAGATTGAGTTGTTCCATCTGAGATTCTTAATATTGAGACATATATGAGTTGGTGCTTCCATATTCAGAGAGAAACGTTGTTATTTGACTCATGTATTCGGAGAGAAATGCACCAAATATGAGGAAGCTCCATAAATTCAGCTAAAACCAACAGACTTTACACTTTTAAGGATATCACAAACAAAAAATTGTTGACCTGTTGCAGGAACCTGAGTTTTTGTCTCGTAGTTTACATCTATCCTAACTGAAATTTGATCTTTTGGGTCTCATTTCATATTTGTATGAACCTTAGGTAGAAACTAAATTGCTCTGCACTAAATTCCCTGGTTCTAATCCCAAAAAGAATATTAGGTTGTTGTACATTATTTACCTTTAGTTTTCTCTTCCAAAGAATTGTTTGATGGATAAATTGTTGTATTTTCTTCATGAACCCTTTGCAGGTCTGCATATGATGTAAGTCTTACTGATGATAGTTGGGACAAGGATCTCTTTGATTTTATCCATGGTAACACGTCCAAGTCTTGGAAAAGACTTGACGCGTAAGTCTGTTTACATGTTCCTGAAAAAGTTGAACGTGTTTTTTCAGACTCCAGTTGCTTACATTATGAGATTAAACCACGTGATTTTCAGGAATGCTCTGGTTTCTCACTCTTTTGAGTTGGAGACCAAAGTGAAAGGATTGTTCTATGGAACACCAGCTCTCATCACATTCAAGATTCCAACAAAGGCTGCAGTACAGGTTGGCGTTGATGGAAATTCTCAAGGCTTTTGTTATTTGAGCTGATCAGTTTTGATGTTTTAGTTGTTGTCTTTGCTGTTTCTCTAGGTGGCATATTCAACCCCAATTCTGCCGCTGGATATCCTTGCTGATAAAACTATTAACGGGAAGTTTGAATTGGTAACCTTTCTTTGATAATAATTTGATATTTGTTCCGTACTCTTCTTCTGTTAGATAGTAGCAGGTCTTCTCTAATGAATTATGGCATCGACTGATTAATGGTGATGTGTTTTACTTTTCATGTAATCACCTGTCATCCTGGCCTCAATTCCAGGCAAAGGTACCTTCTCAGTCTCTTTTCTCAAAGTTCTTTTCATACTTCTTTAGGTTAAATTACAAAAAATCTCCTGAAGTTTAGTATACTATATAAAAATGATTGAAGTTTTTATAATTAAACAAAAATTTCATATTTTACAAATTATTACATACTTTATACTATTACGGTTAAAGTGTTAAATTTAAAATAAATGGTAACATTACTACTATACTTCTTATTTAATAAAATTAATTTAATGACCTTAATGTGTTATATAAGGCTAAGAAATATAGAAAAAATTATTAGAAGAACTAATTATTGATCTTAACAAAAACTATTTAAAAATAATATATAAATATATGAAGATTAATTATTTAAATTATAAAAGTAAAATTTGATTAATAATTGATATAAATAAAAATGATTTAAAAGTAGAATTGCCCCATCTTCACAAATGAAGAAAAAAAATCAAAATAAATTGTTAACATAATTTTTAAATTAATAATTTTAAAATTTACTAAGTAAAGTATTTTAAAGAATTTTTATTAATTTTAAATTATTTATTTATTTAATAAATTCATATTTTTGTTATTTAAATAAATTATTAAGATTGCTATGATAATTTAATATTAAATAAGAGATATTGTAGTAATTTTTCATTTATTTTAAGTCTAGTATCTAAATTTAACTGCCATGATGTTGCAGTATATAACAATTTATAGGAAAAAATTTTCCATTAATTTTTAAAAAGTTGAGTGTTTTTTTTTTTTTTTTGTATATTATTACAAAACATTTTTTTAGATGAAATATATTATCATGAATTTGCTAGCACATTTATGTTAGATGGAAGTTAGTAAAACATAATAAAAATAACGAGTGCTTTGATATTATTCTGATTTCTTATGCAGATGGTTTCCATTTTTATTCTCATGTTTGACTTGGAAACAGTTGATACATGAGAAAAGAATGATCTTTTGAATTGTATTAGATCGATTAAAATTTCAGTATCTAAATAAATCGACCCGTTTATACAAAGTTTATCTATTGTAATTCACTATTCCTATTAAAAACAGTATTCTTATTAAAAGCAATCCTTATGCCTTGGTAAGCACTATCTTATGTGTGCTTAAAGACCAAAAATTTTAGTCATTGTCTTTCTAACAAAAACGTTTTGAGTGCAGAGGCTATTGGCGAATTATGGGTCTCAGGTTTCTGTCATATCCCTTGTTATCATATTTGGTTACCTAATTGCTACATCGGCAAAATCAAGTGGTAAGCGCAGTTGAGGTGGAAGTTTCTCAAGTACGTGTTAGAATAGCGACTGAGTTTGGGATGGAATCTTAAACAAGACCTTGTTTAAGAGTGTATTATGCACCTGTAATTACTCTGAGAATCTATAGGTGATTTTGTAATGCTTACTCGACTAAAATGCATTAGAAGGCCATGCAAGTGCATTTACTATTATGCTTTCATCACCATGGGAATTTCTTTTTGTTTTATGCCTATACATATCCACATTTGTCTTTTATTTCGCTCTTATGACTAACTTTTGCGTTTTCTAGTGCTATGCACCCATCTGTTTGGGACTCGAAGATTTCTACATTCGAAGATTGTATATTTGCATTCAGGTTTCTCTTTCACATCATCTCTGTAACGGCCTCGGAAATTTAGAATGAAATATATGTATTAAAAATGTCAAATGCGGAAGCGTAATAAAAATTTTAATTATCATCCCTTACACAAAAATAAAAAACGTACTCAAAGTATAAAAGAACAAACTAACTAAAAGTGATACTCGAAATAAGAACTATAAATATAACTACGGAGTCTTTAGGCGTCCCCTTTGCCGTCTTCCTGCGGAACGGGCTCGGGAATAATGTCTTCCTGATCTGAAATGGTTAAATAAGGAATGAGCTACACCAGCCCAGTAAAGACATCACACTATCTCACCGCCACGGAGGTAAAGGTGGGTAGAAAACACAAAAAAGACCAATGGAGTATAATTTATAATAAACTCGTTTATTAACATAAAAACATTTACTGTCCACTTACATCGGTGAGATCTATAAAACAAAATATGAAAGCAATAACATTATCATCATCATGAAATCATATGAACTGTATAACATAATACTTACTACGCCTTTGCATTTCAATCATTAAACAACACATTTTCCTCATTTAACAGCCTACTAGTATCCATGGGGATCCATAGGGGTCCCGCTACCCGTGAACCCTTAACATTTATAACCTGATTCCAGAGCCATCCCCATACCCCGTCCGGTATGGGCACCAAAACCATGAACCTTAATACCCCGTCCGGTATGAGGGTGAAACGGGCCGTCCCCATACCCCGTCCGGTATGGGCACCAAAACACAGAAGGTCTCCATACCCCGTCCGGTATGAGAGACCACGTTCCCGGTAGGGTTCCCTACGGACCCGGTTCGTCCACCATCTCCCAAGATATCTAGTCAGGCTGTCCACATTATCCATTTATCAATTCACGTAATCTTTTATTCCTTTTTTCCTCAGTCACCATCATCAAATCACACACAAATATGTAAACCAGTAGTTTATGCCAAACAAGACAACACACAACATCGGATTCTCAGTTATTCAACCCATAGTCAATAAAACAGTGATATATGCACTCAAAACTATGAAATGAAAACATCAGATATCATACTGCATTTAAAACTGTAAAATAGAACAAATAACAACTGACCGACAAATACACCAGACTCGGGCTCCATTAGCGACCTTAAACAATTTCACACATCTATTGATTCATGAAATACAATTTTATCATTTATTGAACTTTAATACCGTGATAGGAAATATGATGAGGGGTCCTTACTTGTTTCGGGGTCTGAATACGGCTCTACAGTGCGCCTACAGGCTGTCTCTAATTTTTCCTGAATTTTTTTCGGGGAATTGAAACGAACTACTGGTACCTGCACGTGTCCCAAAAAATCCTAAATTAGACCTAGGGTCCCTTTCGGCCAATATCGCAATTCCGGCACGGCGGCTCCGCCGTGCTCCGGCGACGCGGCGGCGATTCCCCTCGGGTTGGCCGTTTTCGACCGAATTCGACCACGCTTGCATCGGTCCCTGCGATAGAACAACCCTAGGGCCCTCGGTGGGCCAAAAAATCACGAAAAACCGAAACTTACCGGCAGCGGTGCTCTCGGGTGCGGCGGCTCTTCCGGCGTGAGTCGCATTTTGATGTTTGGCTCCGATCAACCTGTAGAGAAAAGAACGGTGATCACAGTGGTATAAAATTTGCATCAAACGGAGGCCGGGAAGGGCCTTATCGGAGGCAAAAACTGAGGAGGGGCGCGGCGGCGCTGCTGGATTTCGGCTGGGTTTTCCGGCCGTTTGGCCATAGACGGACTCAGCGTCGAAAAACGAGCAAGGAGGAGAAAATTTACCTCGATCGGCGATCGGAAACTTTCCCGGTGTGGCGGCGGGTGGCGGCGGCCGACTCCTTCGGCGTCTGGTTCTTCTTCTCCGGCAAGCACTGGCGGTTAGAGTTTCTTTGGTCAAGTGTAGGTGGGGTTATTTATACCTTTTGCCTTTTAATCTCGATCGTCCATCAAGATTAAATCTGGGTCGTTCATCGCAATGCAATCTGGGCCGACCGTGCGCGTGAATCTGGGCCGTCTGGGCACACGTTTGATCTGGGCTATCCATATGCGCGGGAACGGATCTGGGCCGTCCGATCGCGCGCATGCGGATCGCGCATGTGGCCCGTTCTCTGGTCAGCGTTGCCTTGCCACGCGACGCGTTCTGGTTGGCCAGGGCTGCTGACCGGGCCGCTGACGTGGCACAACTTTTCTAAATTGCGTTTTAACACCCGGTTTCTGATTTTCTTTTCAAAAACACTCACAGAATCCAAATTTTCACCAATTTTTTTCAAAATCAATTTCAATTAAATCCAAATAATATTTTTACACAATTTTATCATTATTATTATTTTTATTTTCATTAAATTAAATTAAATTAAAAATTAAATAAATAAATAATTTTTTTTTATTTTTATTTGGGTGTTACAATCTCACTAAGAGTCCATTTTCATCTTCTTTTCTTCTCTGTTCATGCTTCCATACATTGAACTTTCACGATGTTTGATTGCCTCTGAATATTGTTTTATTTATATTAAAATGATAACCCTGAGTTCATATAAAATTTTACACAGAATTTAAACAATATTTAAAAATTCTATAAAAATTGATAAAATTTGTAATGTATTAGAAAATTACATATGAATTCAATTTTTGTAACCTCCTAATAGAATTTTGTTTTTCTGATTAATAAAACAATGTAGATCTACAAATTAAGTTTAATTTCTCTATCAGACAGTTTCCTCTATTCAGGCATAAGTTTTCTTGTGTGAGGAGTTATAAATTTTAACATTTTCTCATGGTTTAAAACTTTTTTTAGCTTCAACTCTTATTTCATGCATCCGTATTCAACTATTTTTTTTTTTTTTATATCATTTAGTAAATTAATATGTTTGTAAATATTTTTGTTAGTTCTTCATTGCTTGCTTCTTTTTTACTGCAATTATTTTTAGCCTATAAATTTGGCATCTTATGAAGAAATTACTAATTATTTTTTCTTCAATTTTTTGTTTATCATCAAATTTATTAATTATTTTAATTTTCAACAAAATAAACTATCAGTTTAACAAAAAGAACAATTTGTAACATAAATTCCTAATAATTGTTTTATTTATATTAAAATATTCCATCAGGATTAAAACATATTACAAGCATAATAATTGAATAATAAACTCTAAATGCACCCACACTTAACTAAAGCACGAGTATTATTCTAATAAAAAAATTATTTTTGTGTGGTAATTTATCATCTCATCTCAGCTGTTATTTAACATTCAACTGCTAAGACAAAAAAAATATCTACTTCAAGTATGAAAGTATATCCGATCACACTTAGGTGTTAGATGGACAATGAAAGTAAAACATGCACAATCAGGATTAAGTTGATATTCAGTAGCATAATCACTATAAAAATCTCTCCAAGTTTGTTCTTCTTCGTCCAGGACCTTCACAGAAAAAGTTAAAATAATGATTATGCATTTGTTTCCTCAACTTCGGTGAGAATTTCAACTCTGATATTTTCTGTGTCTGCTCCACAGATATTACGTGCACCACTTTCTCATCCTTTTTAATTGTCACCGTAATTTTCATCCTAAAGAAAACATACAAACATGAATTAGGGTGATTTCCATATATATATATATATATATATATTTCATATATTATAGATTTATAGATATATATATATATATATATATATACACTAATATTTCAGTTGATAAAAAGAAAATACCTTGATGTGTAGAAGCTCCAATACCTTCGCAATAAGCTGAAAGTATATTATTGAACTCTATGGTTCTGGTTGAATGTTGATGTTTCGTGAAGAATTTATACACAAATATTTGAAATATGACTAAAAAAGGCAAATGAATTAATTAGGAAATATACAAAAAAAGTTTACCAATTAACTTAAAAAGGAAAATAATTAATGATAGAATATATTATATGGGAAGCACATATTATAATACTAAATGTCCAAAAATAAAACTTCTTACTGTAAAATAACGACTATTATGTATATATATATATATATATATATAGGATATCTTATTATGTTAATAGAAATGTTTATTGATCTAATAATAAATATTAATTTGACATTAACATGAAAGAAAGGAAAGTAATAAAATGTCACTTATTATGTTAAGGGAAATACTAAAATTGACATATTTATGCGCTGCCCACAGAAAAGGAAAATAAAATAATCTCAATTATATTTGGGCTTGGTTTTAAAAAATTATAATGGGCTAATAAAGGGTGTCTTATGGACTACATACATTTAAACCTGTACTTCAATGTCTACTCTTTGAATTTCGTTGAAGCAAACCTTTAGAACCTTCTTTTTGTCATCTTCTTATTTTCAGACATAATAAATTTCAACATTTTTAACTTAAATTTATCGGATGAATTATTCCGTGCTTGTAAAAGAGACCAAAATCATCTGTCCCTGCTCGGCCTGTTGCAGTGGAGCTGGACCACGGGTGGGAGCTGAGCAGCCAGTTCCCAGTTCTAACCTTTTGTTAAACTCCCCTTGTATGGAAACCCTATTCCAGTTTTTAGTTAAGCTAAACAGTGAGCAAGTAGGCAATCTCTCCTTTGCTCCTCCTCTGTTGAAAATGTACCGGTTCAAATCTGCAAGTGTGCAGACTTTACAAGTAATTACAGTTTACAGTTTACACTTCACATGTTAAATCAAACCTATGACTGTGAGATGTAAATTTTCATCTCAACATAAAATCTGTTGCAATGAAACTGTTTGTAGATCAAATACACAAATAAATAAACGGGGTTCCTTGGTATAGATCATTTAAGACCTCGTATATCAAGAAACTGATTCATCTGGGACTCAAATTGGAGAATTGAGGACTGGCCGACTATGAAGATCATGCAGACCTGAAAGGCCCTGACCTTGGGGTTCTTCATTGATAACCAACAGGATGACCTTGATAAGACCCCCGAATGGTACATAAATGTACAGTGAACACAACCTATTATAACAATTCATAAAGGGGAAAACACCCAAGGCTAGTGGCAATGGACTACAGAGGAACATATTGTCCACAGACAACCACACCACCGCACCACCTTTCACCAGCTTAAAGCAGTTCTCCTCTTGGGAAAACAAGTTCAATCAAATGAACTGAACTTCTGACCCATGTGGCAGCATCATATAAACTACACAAGCTTCAACAAAATTAATTTTCAATAGAATCAAGATCACAAATGCAGTGACCTCAAGGGATCGCCAAATAAAATGGAAAACCCCTTTTGCACCTTAAGAGAGTAGAGGAATCGTCAACAATGTCCCTAAAAATACTCTTCATCCATCCAGAGCAGTTAAGCAACCTAACATAAACCTTCAAACACTACAAAGCCTGCAGCATATCCACAAAGAGCTTTAGGTGCAACAAGTTACAGCATGAAGAAACCAGGGGGAAAATATCTCTCACTAGATTACCCTCTGTCTTCCTAAGAAAGAAAGAAAGAAAGAAAGAAAGAAAAAGTACATGTACTTACCATGTGGTTTGTCCCTTAACATGTTAAGTCCCTGCCTCTTTTCTGGCACTTAAGTAGCTTGTCTTACTTTAGAAATTTATGCCCCACGATATTAGTGTGAAATTTAGAAACCTTGTGTCCTATAGTTAGAAGAAAAGCACCTAAATCATACACATTTACTATTAAAACCACAAAACATAGACTACAAGTGGAGTCTGCCGAAAAGAACAGATGCTAGGAATTGTTTTCAGGTGTTCAAGTTACTTATAAGCTCTAATGAAAACCTACTGGTACTGCTTTAAGCACACTTCATTGAGAAGACAACAACCTCAAACATCCTTTTATTTGCATTTGCAAGTTCTTACAACATAACCAAAGCTCCAAAATGCATATATTGCCAACAATCTCTCTTTCGAGAAGATAATAACAGCTATTAACTACTCGAGAGAGAGATAACAACTATTAACTAAGTTATTTATAGTAATGCAAACAATTCAATGTTCTTCCTTTTTCTATCCAAAAAATAACAATGTAGTCAACCCAGCTTGACTGCTCAAAGAAAGAAATATATAATAAATGTTGAACTTTTGTTTCTTCAAATTTCCTTATTAGTAAGAAGCAATATCTATTAAAAAAAATGCAAAATTTCGATACTTGATTATATATTATCCAAACAACAGACGTAAAAACTACGAGCTAATGACATTATTTTGAGAAAGGAAGGGTGGTTAAATTATCATTTCGTTAGACATGCAACAAAATCCCTTTTCTTTTGCTATGATCCACCATTCCTGTGCAAAAAATAATGAGTTTGACGCAAGCTCTCAGGTTTGAACAACTACTAACTAAGTTATTTATAGTAATGCAAACAATTCAATGTTCTTGCTTTTTCTATCCAAAAAAGAACAATGTCATCAACCAAAATTGACTGCTCAAAGAAAGAAATATATAATAAACGTTTAACTTTTGTTTCTTCAAATTTCCTTATCAGTAAGAAGCAATATCTATTAAAAAAATGCAAAATTTCGATACTTGATTATATATTATCCAAATAACAAACGTAAAAACTATGAGCTAATGACATTATTTTGAGAAAGGGTGGGTTAAATTATCATTTCGTTAGACATGCAACAAAATCCCTTTTCTTTTGCTATGATCCACTGTTCCTGAGCAAAAATAATGAGTTTGACGCAAGCTCTCAGGTTTGAACAACTACTAACTAAGTTATTTATAGTAATGCAAACAATTCAATGTTCTTCCTTTTTCTATCCAAAAAATAACAATGTCGTCAACCAAGCTTGACTGCTCAAAGAAAGAAATATATAATAAATGTTTAACTTTTGTTTCTTCAAATTTCCTTATCAGTAAGAGGCAATATCTATTAAAAAAATGCAAAATTTCGATACTTGATTATATAACAAAAGTATTAACTACTGGCTAATGACATTATTTGGAAAGAAAGGGTTAAACTATCACTTCGTTAAACATGCAACAAAATCACTTTTCTTTCGCTATGATCCACCATTCCTGTGCAAAAAATAATGAGTTTGAAGCAAGCTCTCAGGTTGACAAATAGCATACAACATTTGGCAATGCAGAGAAGATTTTAATCATCCAACAATTCTTTAATACCAGAATCCAGTCCGCTAGAATATATATGCATAAAACTGTTTATGTGAGCATATACTTGCAGTAACTAGAAAACTATAAACAAGATAGCTCTCAGTCTACCTCTCATAAACGCGGATACTATGATAAATAAGTAATCCCAAGCAACAGTTTCCATGGTGGAAGTGAAGCTCAGAACAGAAAGATTTGTCTGGTACTCGATTAGTTTGAATAGCACAAAATCCTCCAAAAGAAATATTTGAATATAACTTGAGGCAAATATGGAAAAGCAAGATTCTTATCGGATGCTGTTGTGTCTTCCTAAAAGATACTCCAAGCATACAATCAATGCAAACAGGAAACAGCAAGGTTCTTATAGGGTGCTAAGTTCATTTGAATGTCTTTAAATATCTTCCAAGAGATGCACTTGAGCATGCAATCAAGGCTTCTGCAATACAATACTGTAAAGCTTAATGGTTTGGCAGAACAATGAGAAAAGAGATAGACTTATCAAGTTGTCATATATGACAATTCCTAACAGAGTAATCAAATTGGAGAAAAAAGAGACCTGCTCATTACAGTATCCTCATGCAAAACAAAACTAACAAAGGGTTTAATTCCAGGACATCTTTATTCATAGAGATCCTTTGGAATTCACTTTATTTTAGCTATTCCTATAAGAGATTCTATTTCACAGTTGAGATGAACTCAGAGGAAGTTAGTAATATGTTGTGATTCGCTTCTTTACTCATGCATTTTTTTTTTCATTATTATCTCTAGGAACCAACATTAGAGTAGGGATCCTCTCACGATAATCTATGAGTTACCAACAGAAGCAACTGCATCTACTTTAAGAACACATCAGATGCTAGCACCAGAACATTGCACTGGATTAAAAAGGTATGCAACGCACCCTAGGGGGAAAAAGATAACATAAGATACTACTCATTCCAAAAATACTTCTTCTACTGCTACATTGAAAGAAAATATACTAGGAAAACCTATAGCTGGTTCAGACATGCAGCTTACATTGCCATGGCTGAGAATTCTCCAAAAAAAAAAGAAGACTTTGATTCCCAAAACCAAAACTCCATCAAAACTCACGAGAAACCCTTTCCCAGCTTTTGAATGGCGCAATACATTTTTCTCCTTGACCCCACCGCATTTATTCCCATATCCTTCAAATCCTCCAATGTCAAGAATGGCAAAACCTCATCATCCACCTCATGAATCTCGAATACCGGTGCATACCTTCCTAACCCCAATCCGTTGAGCCAAATCCTCACTCCCTCCTCTCCACACCTCCCTCCTCTCCCGCTCCTCCAATCCCTGACATCTGTATCTGAAGGCCCCGATAGCTCCACATCTCTGTTCTCCGAGACCCTAGGCCTAACATTATTATGCCTCCGGTTATTGTTCCCATGATGATAGAAAGCATCCCTTTCATTTCCATGACCATCCACAGCCAAATTATCCAGCGAATGAATCGGACTCTGCTCTTTCAACGGGCTCTCCGAATTCTCCATATTGAAATCGCGGTAACCCTCGTCCATATCCTCACCTCCGCTATACTTGTCCTCTCCTTCACCATTATTATTGTTGTTAGCGTTGTTATTGTTGTTATCGTCATCGATTTTTGACACCCAATTGGATCGAACCCTCTTGGTGGCGGTGGGCATGGAACCTCTCTTCTTGGATTCCTTGACTCTCCAGCTGCCAATAGCAAGACTATCCAAGTTTCCCTCTTTATCGTCATCTAGGGTTTCACTGTAATCGCCGCCACCGGAGCTAAGATTGGTAAGGGCCCGCGTCTTTGAGGTTTTTCCAGATGGATTAGAGTCCCTCCTGTGATCAATCGAGAGGTGATGGTGGTGTTTCCATTGCTTGGTGGATCTCCGGACGTGAGAATCGTAGGGCTGGTCGCCGCCGATATCACCCAGTCGCACGCTGGGTCTTCTCTGGCGCTTGGATCCAACAGGCTCTGATGTGGTGACGGCGACAGTTGCAGTGCCGTTTAAGGGAGCGTCCTGTGGTTGTATCTCCGCCATATCCGGAGAGAGGTGCACCAACAGAAGGGGAGTGGTATTAGTGGGTCGGAGTAGAGTTGGGGGGTTGAAACGACGCCGTTGCGTGGTATTTATAGTGTATGTCAGTGGAAAAGGATTTTGATTTGAGAGAGAAAGAAAGGAAGAAGATGAGGGTAGAGCGCGGGGGGAAGGGGGGTGTTGAGGACACGTGGCTACATATGAGGATTGACAGATGACAGAACTCACCAATTATTTGTTTCTTTCCTCTTCGTTCCAATCATTCCCTTTTTTCTTTTAAATAAATAATTTATTTTCAAACCTCATTTTCAGACTTTTTACTGTCCTAATAAATTTAAAGTAGAGAAAAAAATTGAATCTGGTAGAAAAAAATTTCAACCCAAGTCAAATTATTATTATTTTATTATAAATGAATAATTTTAATTAACATACGAAAAAATTTCTTTAAAATCCAATTGATTATCTATTTGTCATATTCACTTTACCAAAACTTTTTTTGTAACTTTTTCTTGATAAAAAAAAAACAATTATAATTAATCATAAGTACAAATAACAGTTTATAATTTGTTAGCTATATATTTAGTATTAAAATAAAAATAAATTGTCACAATCTCATTAGAAAATTTGCAAATATAACAAAAATTATATTTTATTATATAGAATAAAAAAATTATATAAATTTTTAATGTTAAAGACAATAATATATTTCAATTTAAAAGCAAATATTATAAATATAATAATATAATTATTTAGGGATACGAATACATTTCGGTCCTCCAAACTTATTATCCATTTCCTATTTTATTCTATAATATTTCAAAGCATTTGACTTTTTAAGAAATATTTCTTATTTTAGTTATTCTATTTTTTTTCTTGTTCAAATCTAACATATTCACGTATATATCTTGTTTCATCATAAATTTGATTGTAGAAAAAAAAAAAAGATATTTACAACTACAAATTAATTTCTATCCCATTTTCATAAACAATTTAATATAAAATTTTATTTATGTAACTTCTATTGGTTAGTATGAAATTATGATTATACCACATTAATACCAATAATTACAATCTTTATTTAAAACTCAGGTAGATTATTGAAACTAAAGAATAGAAAGGAGAATTTAAATTTTGAAATTGTAGTATTGTATTGATGATTGAAGCAGAAGCTGCTGTTCATTTATATACAAGAAGGAAAAGAAGAAGTTCATAAAATGTAACAAAAAATTAGTGCGAACATGAGGCATGCGTGCTAAACAAGTAATAGTCCTACGTGGTAAAACAAATTAACAGAATTATCAATATTAACTAATCATCATTAAAAACTTAATATATTATTTTAGCCTCATGCAAGTTAGGAAGAGTAAATATTGAAAATTCTCAGATTGGATAATAGCAGATGAAATTGAGGAGTACACAAGGCTTTGGTGAAGAAATCTGCAAGCTCTTGAGATGAAGAAACAAATATTAACCGTATAAAACCTTGCTGAACTTTTTCACGAATGAGATGACAATCAATCTCAATATGTTTAGTCATTTTATGAAAAACAAGATTATGGGCAATATTTATGGCAGATTGATTATCATA